GAGTACTCAATTTCAGCATACTTATCCACTGTAGCTAGCACTAGAAGATAAACAGCCACATGGTACAGTACCAGCCTCTTACTGTAGCATAACTTTGGTCAGAAGCAAGTGACATGTGTTTCTGAACTGTTCACTTTTTAACATGACTCATTTGAAATAAAACGTTTTGCTAAGTGTATTAATTATGAATGTTACAAGCATCAGATTAGTTGGGCTTATGTTACCGATCATACCATTCAGAGTTTTCAGTTGGGGGTTTATATCAGATATGGCGTCATGCACCAGAGGGCAAATCTGTAAAGGAAAGCAGTGTGATTCCATGACAAAATCATCGCCGCTGTGAAAATGACTATGTAGTTTATCCATTACAGTATAAGTCCTTGTACAATACCATTCAAAAGTTTGGACACACGTACCCATAGAAAGGTTTATTTGTGCTGTTTTAGAGTAATTATAAAGATTTTAAAAACTATAAAATATTAAATATAAAATTATGCACTGTGTGATGGCTACAGCCACACAGTAAGACCTGAAACATTCTTACATCCTTAGATGATTTACTTTGTATGCTTTTTGCCTTATTTATAGTAATAATTCATAGGTCTTACTTGATGTGTTTTGCCTTTTGTGTTGGGTGTAGTGTACTGTACATATTTTGATATTGTAGGGTTGTGTGCAGTGATTGTCTAAATGAATTGTTTGGTTTGCAGTTACTTTGGTTGTGGGGGTGGTCTTTTCTATTCAGCATATAGGTGTGGCCGAGGGCGGAGCTCTCTTAAAAGGACAACCCCTGGAGCAGGAGTGAACCATGTGCTGCCATAGCTAGAGGGGGGAGTTGGGGTTTAGTTGTGTTTTACTCTGTTTAATTATATGTAGTGTTTATTTGGTTTACCCCTTTGTGTTTGGTTTACCCCAAACCACTATATATGTTCCTTCATGTCTCCTTATCGAAAGGTCAGTTTGTTTCAGTTAATACTTTGCTTTGTAATGTTAAGGTCTTGAGTTTGTTACTGTTTGTATTTTGGGGGTCAATAAAGCCCTGTTTCTTTAGTTAAGCTCCTGTGTTTGTGTTGCCTTACTGCTTGGTCCCTCACACACTGTAAAAAAAAATTGGGGGGGTGGGGCTTGATAAGTTGGGATGGTTGTTGGTTGAAATCCCTGGGTTGGCAGAGTGATCCCATCCTTGGGGCCTTGAGCAAAGCCCTTAACTCCAATTGCCCCAGGTGCTGGCTAACTCTGCTTTCTCCTCTATGCCAGTTTCATGAGGTGGTCTCCTGCGATGCTTTCCCAGCTGTCCTGAAGGAGGTCCCACATATATGCTGAGTTCTCATTGGTTGCTTTTGCTTCACTCTCTGGTCAAACTCCTCCGAAACCATTTCTACTGTCTTTAGATTAGGTGGTCGGGTCATGTGATGCAACACTCCACTTTGAAGGAGGCTTGGTGTATCCAAACTTTTGACTGGTACTGAACATTAAGGCATCATAGGGCATTGTTGAAAGTCACCTGGTTCTGTAAAGAATCTCGCAAAGCTTGATCAATGAAGCTTGTAAAAAGGTTATACAACCAACTGGGAAAAAAACAACTGACATTATTATTAAGAACATACATTATTTTCTTTTACAGCCCAGGGCGTCGGAAATGGGGGGAGCAGGGGGTGGAGAGTGTCCCCCCCAGTGTTGGCAGGGTCCCCCTCCCCAAAAACAAAGACACAAACAAATTAAAATAAAGTCTTATTGTATATTTGCCTTGATTTATGGAAATAAGAAAGTTCATCACCTATGACCATGCCAACTCAAATTAACATGTTAATGCATTATTACATCATGGATGGTCCTTCCATTAAGACAAGAGACATAAGATAATTCTTTGTGGTCAAGAATGGAAGTGCTGTATTCACCTAACACATGATGAGTCACTGGAGAAATTATGGTAATCTATGAGAAAGTTATTGAAATGCATTGTCTCAATGTAACTGTTCGTTATCCATACCTGGCCCCTCCATGAAATGTGATACTGACATCACCCACGCTGGCCACGCAGCCATTGCTGCTTACGGTGGGTCGTCCTGTTTCGTCGCTGCCCACACTGATGGTGACCTTGATGGTCAGACCACTTACGGCCAAATCAAAGCAGCCACTGTCTTGTCTGTAGTGTGCAGTGTGAGAAAGTCTTTGTTATTCTCATCCAGCCTGAAAAAGAGTTTGTCCGCAACAAGAACACTGCAGTGACACTCACATGAACCCGAGGTATTTGACATGCCAGTCTCCATGCAGATTGATGAAGTTGCCAATGGACAGGCTGATACCAGTGCCGGGGACGAGGCCCAGAGAGGACTGCGACAGGACCAAGTCTGTGATTCTCATACTGGAGGAAGCAACAGACCGGGACACACTGTGACTAAAACAGGAGCCTGCAGCATCGCCTGGAGCAGAACCATGACCCTGATCACTACAGACTGGGGGCAAAGCAACGCGATTGGTCTGCTGTGCAACTGTGCTGCCAACAGGCTCAAAGTTCACATTCTGGGGATTAAATTATGGGTAACATTCAGCACAGACCCTAAATGTATGGATGAATAAGGAAATCGAGGTAAACTGTTAAACTGTGTTGTAAAAATTTTCCTGAAATAACGTAAAAATGTACAAAAGTATGATAAACCGTACATTGATAAAATTTTACATTCAGCACAGACCCTAAATGTATGGATGAATAAGGAAATCAAGGTAAACCATAATACCAGAGAGAGCCACTGGAGCAGTTAAACAGTTTCATGTTACCATTTCTTTATGAATTAAGAGTATTTAATCAAGACAACACAAGAAACTGAGCAAAAATGTACATCTAATCATTTAAATTGATTGTTTTTTTTTTTTTGGGGGGGGGGGGGGGGGGGGGGTTACAGGCAATAAAGACGTAAGATTTAAAAACAGTTCATGTATTTGTGTTACAGATTTTTGGCTAAATCTTTACAAAAGTCATCATTCAGAGAAAAAGATGACATCATTTTAATATACTTTTAACATACTTAAAAACTCAAGGTAATGTCAATTGCTCTACAAAAAAAACAGTTTCTATATATACAGTCCCCTCCAAAAGTATTGGAACAGCAAAGTCAATTCCTGTATTTTTTCTGTACACTTAAAACATTTGGGTATGACATCAAAAGATGAATATGAGACAAGAGATCAGTATTTCAGCTTTTATTTCCAGGTATTTACATCTAGATCTGTCAAACAACTAAGAAGATAACACCATTAGTTTGAACCCACCCATTTTTCAAGTGAGCAAAATTATTGGAACATGTGACTGACAGGTGTGTTTCATTGCCCAGGTGTGTCCTATTACATTGATTATTTAAACAATAAATAATACTGAATGTCTACTCTCAGTTTCAGCTTTGGGTTTTGCCTGTGCAGACTGCATTTATAGTTAAAAAGGTGTAACCGACATGAAGACCAGAGAGCTGTCTATGGGAGAAAAGCAAACAATTTTGAAACAAAGAGAAGGCGGAAAGTCAATCAGAGAAATTGCACGAACATTAGCCATAGCCAGTACAACTGTTTGGAATGTCCTGAAGAAGAAAGAAACCACTGGTGTTGTAAGCAACAGATGTCGAACTGGTAGACCAAGGAAAACATCAGCAGTTGATGACAGAAACATTGTGAGAACTGTGAAGAAAATCCCTAAAACATCAGTGACATCACCAACAACCTCCAGAGGGCAGGAGTGAAGGTATCACAATCCACCATTCGCAGAAGACTTCAGGAACAAAAGTACAGAGGCTACACCAGAAGATGCAAACCACTCATTACCAATAAGAATAGGAAGGCCAGACTGGAATTTGCCAAAAAGTACAGAGACAAGGCTCAAAAGTTCTGGGACAAAGTTTTATGGACTGATGAGACAAAGATTAACCTTTACCAAAGTGATGGAAAAGCTAAAGTATGGAGAAAGAAAGGATCCGCTCATGATCCCAAACACACAAGCTCTTCTGTGAAGCACGGTGGAGGTAATGTTATGGCTTGGGCCTGCATGGCTTCTTCTGGGACGGGCTCATTGATCTTTATTGATGATGTAACACATGATGGTAGCAGCAAAATGAACTCAGAAGTCTACAGAAACATTTTATCTGTCAATTTACAGAGAGATGCAACCAAACTGATCGGGAGATCTTTTATCATGCAGCAAGACAATGACCCAAAACACACTGCCAAAGCAACCAGGGAGTTCATCAGTGGAAGGAATTGGAAGGTTTTAATTAAACTGGCCAAGTCAATCTCCAGACTTAAACCCTATTGAGCACGCATTTTACCTGCTGAAGAGGAGACTGAAGGGAGAAACTCCCCAAAACAAACAACAACTGAAAGCGGCTGCGGTGAAAGCCTGGAAAAGCATCACAACAGAAGAATGCAAAAGTTTGGTCATGTCAATGGGTTGCAGGCTTGATGCTGTTATTGCAAGCAAAGGATTTGCAACTAAATATTAAGTATTATTCACTTAAATTAATCTTAAGTCTATCTGTTCCTATACTTTTGCTCACCTAAAAACGTTGTGTTCCATTTCAAACCATGTTATCTTCTTAGTTGTTTAACAGATCTAGATGTAAATACCTGGAAATAAAAGCTGAAATACTGATCTCTTGTCCCATATTCATCTTTTGATGTCATACACAAATGTTTTAAGTGTACAGCAAATATACAGAAATTGACTTTGCTGGTCCAATACTTTTGGAGGGGACTGTATATAAAAAAATTCTCAAATTCACGACAATGGCACATATTTTTTTAAACTTGTGTTGTACAGATTATTCATTTCCAACAAAAAAAACTACTTGCATGCAAGTATAAGCTGGATTTCAGTGCTTTCAAAAAGGGCTCAATGAACGGATGGCACTAAGACAAGTAGAGATGTTAAACTATTTTTTATTTTTAGTCACATCTTGAAGATTAACAAATCAAATCAAAACCCTATTCAGTCCTGACCGCATGATTGATATAAAATCTTAAAAGCATTTGGGAAAACAGAAGTCTGAAAACAACTGAAGGTACACTTTATAGCATTAAAGACCTTAAGATTTTAAGGTATAAGCCTTCAATTAAATAAAACAAATAATTTAAAAAAATGAAATAAACCAGGTAACATCAGATTCCCCATGAGACACCAACTGAATGTTTTTATTTTAGCTCTGAATTGTGGGATTCTGTGCAACGTCACAACCAAAGGTTTCATGTCATTTGCAGCCAGAAGGAAAGATTATAGGTCTGTATTAAAATCTATGCTCAAACTATTCTCCCATCTAGGTATTAAAATATTGCATGTGTTAAGGCAATCAAAGAAATAATAACATGTTATAACTTTAAAATTAACGCAACACGTTAACACCATAAATTTCCCAGCCCTAAGTTAAAATAAAAGAAAACACACTGGTATGTGCTACATAGGTGAATAACCAGATCTACGATACCATTTCAAACAATAAACAGTTGCAAAAATAGCAATAATACCAATAATACCAATAATAATGCCCCAAAACTTCAAACTGAAGGACACAATACGATCAGAATAACTTGTCAGCAGATTCGAACCGATATCACGAGCCGCAGGGCAGATCTGTAAATGAAAGCAGCAGTTTAATGACAAAATCATTGTCACTGTGAAATGAAAGTGTAGTCTATCCATCACTGAGGGAAATGTATGTTTCGGCACTGTTGGTAATCACCTGCTTCTCTAAATATCCTCGCAAGCGTTCACGATAGAACCATTCAATAATGTTGTAGAACCACCTGGGAAAGAAAAACAAATGACATTATATTTATAACATTCATAATTTTCTCTTACAGCATATTCTGTGTTGCACTGAAGTGCCCTCTGGTAATTCCAGGCACTAATAAATTTGTCCCTCATCTGCTGTAACATAACTGTGGCTTCTGGCACATAAAACACTGGAGAATTTATGGTAATCTTTGAGGAAGTTATTGTAATTCATTGCCTCAGTGATACTCTCTTCAATATCCATACCTGTCCTTAAAACTGACCCTGAAGTCACTCAAGCTGGCCGCGCAACCTGTGACATTGCCGTAAGCAATGGTGATGTTGATTACACCACTCACAGCTAAATCAAAGGAGCCACTGTCTTGGCTGCAAGGAGCAATATGAGAAAGTGTTATTCTCATTCAGACGAGGAACAAGAAGCTTATCCACATGAAGAATACTGCAGTGACACTCACATGAACCAGAGGTATTTCACATGCCAGTCTCCGTGCAGATTGATGAAGGCGTTGCCACTGGACAGACCAGTGCCGGGGACGAGGCCCAGAGAGGACTGCGGCAGGCCTAAGTCTGTGATTCTCATACTGGAGGAAGCAACAGACCGGGACACACTGTGACTAAAACAGGAGCCTGCAGCATCGCCTGGAGCAGAACCATGACCCTGATCACTACAGACTGGGGGCAAAGCAACGCGATTGGTCTGCTGTGCAACTGTGCTGCCAACAGGCTGAAAGTTCACATTCTGGGGATTAAATTATGGGTAACATTCAGCACAGACCCTAAATGTATGGATGAATAAGGAAATCGAGGTAAACTGTTAAACTGTGTTGTAAACATGTACAAAAGTATGATAAACTGTACATTGATAAAATTTTATGTGTATCTGTACCCTGAGAGTCTGTACTCGACTTTGACAATGTAAAAAAAATTCTCTGATCCAGAGAAATCAGGGATGTTGAGAGACTTCAGCTTCTCCTCCAGAAATCCAAGTTGAATTTTTAGCCCTACAGAGAAACCAGAAGGGAATGAACATTTACTGAAAGATGTAGTCTGCTGTATATCAGCTGAAGCTGCCTTTGTATCACCATAATACTTTCAGATGCAGTCATGTAACCCTGTTATCTGGGATCGGGTTAGGGCTACTCCAGGGCTACTCCAGAGCCATTTGATATACTCATCAGCTTTGAATGCTAATGTACTCTTTATGACCATTCATTTCATTCCAAACTACAACTGGTTGTAATATTTACAATTTGCAAATCTATTTCAAATGAATCCTGTCTAAAATGATGATTTATCAGTGTTTAACATACTTTGCCGCTTGCTTAAAAGGGTGCATAAGGATTATTCATAGGCTGACAACAGTAAAC